TACTGGCTCGGATAGATGGGATAAGAGTGTGGGGTCGAAGGAACCACTTCCCGTGCCAGGGGTGGTTAAGTTTTCAAAAGTTCACGGGGGCTACGGTAAAAATTTGGGTTTCCCCCCAAAGAGTTTACTTGATGTATAAAGTTGAGGTAAAATACAGGAATCACCCTATAAAATTTCCAAATTTATTATTATTTTTTTATTATTATTATTATTATTAGAGCATAAATATTGTATAAATTGAAAAACCTAAAACTAAAATATAAAAATTTCTTAAAAAAGTTTCATGAACTTTATAACTAAAAAGAAATAAAACCAAAAACCCATGGGATATATACCCGAAGGTGTATGTCTCTCACTGTTAAAAAAAGGGGCGTTTTTTTAAATCCCTAGGGTGGGAATTAAGTTATTTTGTCGGGTGCGGGAAGGGTTTACGGGCAGCCTTAGTGCCCCTCGTGTAGCAGAGAAGCTGTAAACCTATTAACTAAGCAATTAATCCAAGCACAGCTGTTTCTAGTACTCTGAAGTTAAAATGCGACATTTTTTTACTTTCGGAAATATAGTAAATTGGTATACAATAACTACTTTTTAAAGGGGTGGACCGAAAGCCAGCGGAAAGGGCCTCGGTCGATGCCCAAAAAGCCCCGGGGGTCATCAAGGAGACCCGTCAAGAAACATTTTGCCCCCGTTTCCTGCAAACCTTTATACCTATTTTGGGGGAGTGTCCCCGCCATGTGGTTTTCCCCCAGCCAAAACCCCAAACTCCTCTTTGTGAGGCTGCTAAGATTCAGTGGTATAGCACCGTTCAAACCCTGTTTTTTTTTTCCTTATATAAAACCTTCTGGATACATTACAGCATTTTTTTTATTTTTCAACCCCCTTTTAAGCAGCTCAACCACACCAACTTTTCCAACCATTTTTTTTACCTCGATGGCCATCTCACTCCTACAAGGTGACTCAAAAAAAACACATTCACTGTCATTCAGTAAATTGCCTTTCCAGGGGGGTACGACTCACAGACTACCCCTTCATTGTGGGCCTTAATATATGACAGTTTCTTTTTCCCATTGCAGTTTTGCTTAAATTGATAAATTCATTTATTTGCTGTAACATTCCCCCTCTCTCCTTCATCAGAGTCCAGGTACTACTACCTTTCCCCCCCTTCATTCTCAGTCGGCTAACTGATTTCCATAATCCCTTTTTAAAAAGGGCACCTTGCTCACACCCCAAACAGCACGTCCATATTTGTCTATCCCCATTTTAAAAAAAACTCCCCAATGTTAGATTTTAATACATTGCTTTACTGGTTTTCCACTACAACTACTGGCAAACCCTTTTCGTACCATTCTCTCTACGCAAAATTTTTCACCCAAAGTACATCCCCCCACTTTAATTACAGTGTCTGCCAACTTTAAAAATGTTGTTCGTTTTAAAAAGATTTATTTATTGCTAAAACACCAAAGTTTAACAGGGATTTAAAAAAATTTTTTTATTCTAAAAAAGTTTAACAGAGATTTTTTTTTGGTGCGTGACTTACATCAAAACAAATATTTTCATTGAATAGGGTTTCGAAGGGAAAATTATCAAAAGCGTAAAAACGAGCGAAGAAGAATTTTTAATAAAATTTCCCAGAAATAGGGGGATGTGGGTAATTTTGGTGGGGTGGGAAAAACAGTGATGGTGGTTGGGGTGGAAGGTGCAGTGATGGTGGTGGGGGTGGTAAGGAAGGCCGCTTATGTACCGCCGCTGGGAAAATTTCCCCGTTCTTCGTTTCTTCTTCCCCAAGAGGGCCGTGGAACACCCACCTGCATTAGTTGCTTCATCTCAAAACACAACACACCTAGTTAAATGCAAAAACCAACGGCGCTTCAATGCACAATGTGGAAATTCCTCTTTCAATCATACCCTCACTTAACTCCTTCCCACTGAAAATAAATGATGCCAGAGTCAAACGGCATTATCAACAACCCTCTTCTCCACCCAACAAAATTGTCTATCAACAAGTGCCCTTGGCAGTTGGTAACTAAAATAAAACAGGGAGGGAGAGGACGACCAAGTGTTTATCGACAAGTGCCTTTGACAACTGGTAACTAACAAAAAAAGGCATCACAGGTCTAATGTCTATCGACAAGTCCCTTTGGCAACCAGCAACTACTACAACTACTACTATTACTGCTACTACTACTACTACTACTACTACTACTACTACTACTACTACTACAACACACACACACGACACTGGAGGACAGGAGGGTTAGGGAAGACATGATAACAACATACACAATACTGCGAGGAATAGACAAGGTGGACAGAGAAAGGATGTTCCAGAGAGGGAACACAGAAACAAGAGGTCACAATTGGAAGTTGAAGACTCAGATGAATCAAAGGGATGTTAGGAAGTATTTCTTTAGTCATAGAGTAGTCAGGCAGTGGAATAGCCTAGAAAGTGACGTAGTGGAGGCGGGAACCATACATAATTTTAAGACGAGGTTTGATAAAGCTCATGGAGCAGGGAGAGAGAGGACCTAGTAGCAATCAGTGAAGAGGCGGGACTAGGAGCTATGAATCGACCCCTGCAACGACAACTAGGTGAGTACACACACGGGGCCAGGAGCTATGAATCGACCCCTGCAACCACAACTAGGTGAGTACACACACACACAGCATATGAACGACTAGCGAATCTAAGAACAGCATTCCGACATCTCAGTAAGGAGTCGTCCCGGACCCTATACACTGCGTACGTCAGGTCCGTATTGGAGTATGCAGCACCAGTTTGGAACTCACACCTGGTCAAGCACGTCAGGAAATTAGAGAAAGTAACGACACTGGAGGACAGGGGGGGGGGGACATGATAACGACTGCTAAAACGACATATAGGATACTGAATCGACAAGGTGGACAGACAGGATGTTCCAGAGATGGGACACAGCAACAAGGGGCCACAATTGGAAGTTCTACCTGGAGGTTATTCCGGTCCACGACCAGGCCTCCCGGTGGATCAGAGCCTGATCAACCAGGCTGTTTCTGCTGGCCGCACGCATTCCAACGTGCGAACCACAGCCCGGCTGATCCGGCACTGACTTTAGGTATCTGTCCAGCTCTCTCTTGAAGGCAGCCGGGAGTTTATCGGTAATTCCCCTTATGCTTGGTGGGAGGCTGTTAAACAGTCGGGCCCCCGACACTTATGGTGTTTTCTCTTAGTGTACCAATGGAGCCCCTACTTTTAACTGGGGGTATTTTACATCGCCTGCCCAGTCTTTTACTTTCGTAGGGAGTGATTTTTGTGTGTAGATTCGGGACCATTCCTTCCAGAATTTTCCAAGTGTAGATTATGATATCTCTCTCTCTCTCTCTCTCATGCGTTCCAACGAGTACAAGTTAAGTGCTTCCAAGCGTTCCCAAGGTGCTTGACAGAACTTACACGTGCAGTAAAGGTTCTCTGTACACTCTCTAGATCTGCAATTTCACCTGCTTTGAATGGAAATGTTAATGTACAGCAGTATTCCAGCCTAGAGAGAACAAGTGATTTGAAAAGGATCATCATTGGCTTGGCATCTCTCGTTTTGAACGTTCTCATTATCCATCCTATCATTTTCTTTGCACGTGCGATCGTGGCACTGTTGTGATCCTTGAAAGTGAGATCCTCAGACATTACTACTCCCAGGTCCAGTTTTCCATAACAGAGTAATTGGAATTTGTCCTCATTGAACATCATGTTGTTTTCCGTTGCCCACTGGAAAACTTGGTTTATATCTTCTTGGAGGTTAACCGTGTCCTCAGTAGATGACAGCCTCATGAAGATCCTAGTATCATCTGCAAAGGATGATACGGTGCTGTGGGTTATATCTCTGTCTATGTCTGATATGAGGATGAGGAACA